AATTGAGTGTTGGGAATAACACCAAAGGGCGTTGCAGAAAGGAAGGAAGGAAGGAAGGAAGGAAGAAAGAAAGCAAGAAAAGCAACATGAGCAAATTTTGCAACTGTCCCTCAGATAAGCAGCTGAACTCTGGATGAGATGCTCCATTCTAAGACAACTATAGTGCAATACTACTACTATTACTGCTACTACTACTGCATTGTACTTATTATAATACTTATTATTATTATTACAGCACCATCTGTGTACATGACACTTTACAAATAACTGATTTGAAAGGTTCATGTTGCAAGGAGCCTACAACCTAAAAACGACAGGAAAGGGAGGGAAAGGAGACATATAATGATATCAACTGTATGTATTTACTCTTACTGGCAGATTAGTGTTTGAACCAAGTAATCAAAAGCTCCATTGAAAAAAAGTAAGTGTTGAAGAAGCATTTGAAGGAAATAAGGGGAACAATTGTACAGAGGGCTTGTGAGAAACAATTTCATGCATAAGGGCAGAGTTTGTTTCATGAGACCCTAGGGGAACTGATAGAGTTGGATGGATGAAAGTAATAGGCAAATAATGTTGGGGATATGGTTTAAGTGCAGAGAGTAAAGGGGGCAAGACCGCAGAGAGTTTGACAAAGGAAACCTGTGTACATTTTTAAAGAAAGGGTGTCATGTGGTCAGAACAATGGGAGAGGTCCACAATTTTTGCGTGGAACTGTTGAAAAGAGGTGTGAGCAGATCAAGGTGAGATCATGGGAGACTAGGAAGAAAAAATGTCAGAAGGCTAAAAGGACATTGGTGGTAGTTTTTGCTGAGAGAACAGAGAGGTGAGCTACATTTTTGTAACAGAAGTAATGTGATTTGGTAATGGTCATAATATGGAAGCAAAGGAGAGAAAGGATACAAGCAAGGCTTCATGCCTGATTAACAAAGTGGGTGGTGATGTTGCCAATGGTTGAAGAGAGTGAATAAGAAAATGAAATATTGGAAAGAAAGATTATAATTTTGGTGTTGGTCATATTGATCTTGAGATTCCGATGACACATCCATGCAAAAATGTCAGATCAATACTTGTGGTTTCGATCACTGTTCATCTTGATCAATACATTTCAATTCATTTCAGATTGGTTGTCTACTGCATAAGTATATAGGGCTTTTTAAGCAACAAGACATGACATGATGGGGAGAGGGTGCATCTAATGAAACACATGCTTTGATTTTACCCTTGGTGTTCTAATGAGACACTTAACTCAAAGCCCTGTTCTCCTGGCTTTGCTCCTAAACAAACGGTAACAGCTTGGCAGTCACCCAACTGCTCTTCTAATTAATTCACAATCAGGTTCCCTTTTATTCCCTTGTCCAGCTCATCACTTTTCATTTTCTGTGCACTTGAGATTTAAAGAAAGGAAAAAGCCAGCAGACTCTGAAATATCTCTAGTGGGAGAGACCACATAGTTCCTGCAGTCCATACTAGGGTTATGTGCAGTTTTGTCATAATTGCCATCTAGATATAGAAAAGGTTTTGGGCATGTTATAGAGCAGGGGTGGGGAATATCTTCCAACTACCCCTATCCGCTACCCCCCTGTGGGCTATTTTGATAGGCGAGCAAACCTGTCAGCCACCTGACAGCACAATGGTGCCCAAAGTAATTTCCCCCCCTTTGTAGATGCTGCTTGAGGGGAACAACTTTTGTATTGTTGGCTTGTAAACACCAATCCCAGTCTGCTTTTTGTTAGCATTGATCAGCTATGGGTGCTGAGATTAAGCCCACTTTAGGTAGTGAGTGGCTGCACTATGCAGTTCACCATCAGGAACTCATTTGCAGAGATGATTCCAGAGACTTCTTGTTGGTGCCAATCAGCTGACTTGCATTGACAGCAAGTCCTGCTTGCCAGGAAGGAATCAGGAGCGTGCTAAGACTCTGATTGTTCCTTGACAGTCATGTCCATACTTGCCCCAAACCTGACATTATGTATGACACCTGTCTAACCCTGAGGAGTAGTTGCAGCAACAGGAGACATCTGCCCCCTGATGTTTTATATACCCTTTCCTGACTTCTCCTGCTCGGAAGTCACTGCTGCTATTTCTGCTTCAAGCTCCTCCTGGTTCTAGGGGACAGTAGGGAGGAGGATGTGGGGAGTGTACTGACCCATCTGCAGGCTGAAAAGCCTCTTCTTCTTCTGCCACATCTAGAGCGTCTTCCTCCACCTCAAACTGACCTGACTCTTTCTCTCCAACCCTGTCCTGGCTCCTGCCTTGTGAGCGGCATCAAATCCCATAAATTGTTGGTCCCTTCTCTTGGGTCACTCTCTTGGTCCCCTGCCCCCACCACACACTTAAGAATCCTGTTAGTCTCTGACAACATCAGACACTTTTTGGGGTGGGCACACCACGGGTCACCTTTAAAAAAGAGAGAGAGAGGCACTTTAATGCACTAGATATGTCACTAGTCCTGTTCTACCAGGAAACACTGGAATACAGAAAGATTCTAGATGTACTTGCAGCTTGCCTCCGGCCAAAGGACTTACTTCTGTTATTATTGGGGGATTTTTTTGCAAAGCTTTCCTCAAACCTTTCACCTCCTGCTAATGTTACCAAATATTTGCACTCTGCAGTAATATTATTTGCTCATCCACAATCCTTCTGCCCTTGTTTCCCCTTCTATTTCCTCTTCTTTGACAACATTAGAATGTCAGATACAAGACTTTCCTCTTATTTTAGCCCTGAAAGCAACAATAAAGTATATGTGGAGATCAAGAATCATTAGTCCTCTAAGTAAAAAAAAAAAATACCTATCCCTTTAGCATAGCCTGACTGACCTTTTGTAAAAATCCTTCCTTTGAAGAAGGCAAAGAGGAAAGGGAACAGGCAATAGGAGTATGTTGAAGCAGATTATTCTCTGCTGCTCAGCACAACACAGTCTCTTCACAAAAAAGCAGGACATAAAAGGATCATATAAAGAGCTGGATCAGGACAATGTAAACTGACCTGAGACCTGGGGGTATAGAGCAGTATACAAATTTTAATCTTAATCATCAACATCTAGTCCAGCATCCTGTTCTCACAGTGGCCAACCTGATGCCTGCAGGAAACCTGCAAGGAGGGCCTAAGCATGAGAGCCCTCTCCCCTCCTGGGGCTTTCAAGAAACTGGTTTTCAGAAACATTACTGCCTCTAACCATGGAGGCAGGGCATAACCATCATGGCTAGTAGTCAATGATGGCCATAGCCTCTGTGAATTTGTCTAATCCTCTTTTAAAACTGTTCAAGTTGGCTTCCCTACACCCCACACATGCACACATGGTACAGTGCAGTCTTTCCCTTCCCAAAGAGCCTGTCAACAATGGACCCTGGGGGAGACAAGAACTCAAGACTACTAAGGCATTTTCATAACCTATTTTTCATTGTCTTCAGGAAGCTGCTTTTTCTCCCAGGCCCAGTTTTTAAGAGCTGATGGTGACTGACTCCCCCCCCCCCCCCCGCAGTTTGTACCACTTCCCCTTGTTCAGCTGTCACTTCTGAGTACAGAGCACAGAACAGAGTACAGAACTGAAACCATTTCTATGTGCTGAGCTATTCAGAGGGAAACATACATTATTTCACCACTGGCCACAATGGCTCTATTCAGGTGTTCAAGGTGAACAGGCGTGATCTTAGAGGAGGGAGAGGGTTGCAAACACTTCCACAAGCCTTGCTCACAATATCCTAGAATGTACCAACTCCACTTCAACCTTCTCACATTCAGAAGAATGGATTTTATGTGCATTCAGGTTAACATACTAAGAATCCCCAGTGAAATTTTGAACCTTTTAATTATACAGTGGTACCTCAGGTTAAGTACTTAATTCGTTCCGGAGGTCTGTTCTTAACCTGAAACTGTTCTTAAAATGAAGCACCACTTTAGCTAATGGGGCCTCCTGCTGCCACTGCGCCGCCAGAGCACGATTTCTGTTCTCATCCTGAAGCAAAGTTCTTAACCTGAGGTACTATTTCTGGGTTAGCGGAGTCTGTAACCTGAAGCGTATGTAACCCGAGGTACCACTGTACAAGATAAGAGTTAAACTTTCATATTGAGACTCCAATACTTTGGCCACCTCATGAGAAGAGAAGACTCCCTGGAAAAGACCCTGATGTTGGGAAAGATGGAGGGCACAAGGAGAAGGGGACGACAGAGGACGAGATGGTTGGACGGTGTTCTCGAAGCTACAAACATGAGTCTGACCAAACTGCGGGAGGCAGTGGAAGACAGAAGTGCCTGGCGTGCTCTGGTCCATGGGGTCACGAAGAGTCGGACACGACTAAACGACTAAACAACAACAAAACTTTCATATTCTTTGACTTTCATATTTACCCACCTTTCCCCAACTCAGGGCACTCCTAACTAAATGGTATTTCTGTTTTTCCCAGTCTTTGGGACCCTCGAAACTTTCATCTTCATCTGACATTTTAATGGGCATCTATCTTAAAGCTCCAGCTTCTACAATACGCTTATGCAAATAAAACTTCAGTTGATTGCTTATTAAGAAAACATTTCTTTCTAGAATGAAACTATTTCAGTAACAACTTGCTACGCTGGCATTTTGCTGTGTTTTTAAATAGTCATGACTAGAATATAATAAAAGGCAATCACAGGCACATGTTTCTCCATTATTAAAAATTAATTTAAGGCTGATTTGCCCATCTGCAGCAGAAGAAATTAAACTTTAAAAATGGTTGTGCTTGCATATATTATAATTCCGCAACATTGTAGGCCATTCTGCACATTGCTAAAAGGGCAAATGAGACAAGCAGCTGTTTCGTGGGTGGCATTACACTGTTTGTCAGAGAGTGGCAGTGACTACAGTTTCCTACTGAGTAGACATCTGCTGACAGGTTCAGTTTGTAGCTATGCAGTGAGCGCAATGGTCTAGCAACAGAGGTTGTAAACAGAGGGAAGTTTACAATGTGGTACCCAGCAGTTCAGTAGAAATGTGGCATTTCTGCCAAATCATAGGAAATACTTACTGTATGTACACCCAAAAACTTCAACCCGCAGGCCAATATTCCCACTTTGACTCCATTTCAAAGGAATGAAGCGCACAAAACGAGCTTTCACTGAGTGCAGAAACTTATGCTGCATGACACTGTCAGCATTGCTGTTCCCTTGGAAGACCTGCAAAGAAATAGAATTGGTTAAGTTATGGAATTTTTTCCTTATTTAAAACATTTATCTACCACCCTTCGCCTTTGGGGAATTTCAGGATAATGTACAAGCCAACTTCATATTATATATATATATTTTTAAAACCAAGGGAGTATATTAAAAACAAAACTAAGAATTTCAGCAGATTAAAATTCCTGGGTAAAAAATAAATCTTGTGATGTAGCTGCCAGGGGAGAATATTCATGGAGGGTCTTCCACAATACAGACCCTACTAGTAAGTACTGACCAGTCGATATCAGGAAAGGTCCTAGGACATATAACTAAATAGTCAGCCTGTCAGCACTAAGAAAAGGATGCTTTGATTACTAAGACCCAGCGTGGGTTTCTAAAAAATAAGTCATGCTGATACATGTGAAAAGGATCTAGGGATCTCAGTAGACCACAAGGTTAACATGAGCCTACAGTGTGACATAGCAGCAAAAGAAGCTAATGCTATTCTAGGCTGCATCAACAGAAGTATAGCGTCCCGATCAAGGGAAGCAATAGTACCACTCTCGTCTGCCTTGGTCACCTGGAGTACTGTCTCCAGTTCTGTGAACCACAATTTAAGAAGGATTTTGACAAGCTGGAACATGTGCAGATAAAGGATCTAGAAACCAAGCCTTATGAAGAATTGCTGAAGGAGCTGGGTATTTGTAACCTGGAAGAGAGGAGACTGAGAGGAAATATGACAGCTGTCTTCAAACATCTAAAGGGCTGTCGCAGGGAAGGTAGAGCTTCAAGTTACAAGAAAGGAGATTCTGACTAAACACCAGGAAGAACTTTCTGACAGTAAGAACTGTTGTGTGGAATGGAATCACTCAGAATGTGATGAACTCTTCTTCCTTAGAGGTTTTTAAGCAGAGGTTGGATGGTGATCTGTCATGGATGCTTTTGTTGTGATTTTTACATTGCAGGGGCTTAGATTAGATGACTCTCAGGATCCCTTCCAACTCTACAATTATATAGTTCTGTGATTGCTTCATTTGGAAGTTACATAATATGGCTAGACTACATATTACCTAAAATTGAAGATGGCAGGTAGATAGACTTAGGCCTATAGCAATAGTCTCAAGGTAATATATAGCCTTGCCCCACACAATAGTTGTGATCACAAGTCAAAAGCTATTAAAATCTAGGATGCTGTTCATTTAGCTACGCTTTAACCTGTTAATATCAGAATCCATTAAAAGGGGGTGTGCTGCTGTGTGAAACATTTTTTGTCTTTAAACTGGGATTAATGTGTGTCTGCAGTGATGCTGATAGGAAACAGACAATCTCCTCAATTCCTCAACCTTTGGCAAAGCATCTGTAAAAAGCAGAAAGAACATTGCAGCTATACATGAGGGGAGAAAAGGTTCCCTTGGAAAAAAAGACTGTCCACTCATCAAGGCATAATAAATTAAGTGGCAGCATCAGGCACTGGCTGATGTGTCTATCTCACTTGATAGCACAAGCCCCAGGATGCCAAAGTCATGGCATCTTCACAGAGCTGCACAAGCTGGCTACCATAATGACTATGGTGATTATCTTCCCTCTCACTTTATTAGGCAGGTAATGGGACAGGTCTGAACTGTAAATGGAAGGAAGGAGAGTTGGCACACCAACACGAACGGTGCGTCAACAGACTGGAGGTTAACTGCTTTCCCAGGGAGTTATTTCAAGCGGCTGCTAATGCTTTCTCTCTTGCCAAAGTCACAGAGGTGAGCTGAACCGAAGGAAAAGGAAAGACTAGGGAGGTGCAGATGCCCACATCACAGATGTTTTTTAATTTGCACTGTTGCATTCCTAATGCAAGAAAGTGCAGAGGCATAACTCTGCCCACTGCCTTCCACTGAACAAACAGGCCACTTCACACCCACTAATTGAGGCTGAAATGCTGCACGTGAAAAGTGTAATTAATTCCAATGAGATTTAGTGCATATGCAAAATTCTACAATCCATTTGACTATGCTGGGATCATTGACTTTAAGAAGCAGGCCTACCAAACTCTTTGCACCTTGTGAAGTAGTATATTTAGTTTATTACTTCATATCTTACAGCTATATAACTCTAAGACAAAGCTGGCTACAGGTTCAGGGCTTTAAAGGCAGAATGGTGACACCCTGAGTTCAGAATCACTTTCCCAGCAAAGCTGGATGGATACTGCTAAATATCCTGAGCTTCAGCATAGGTATTGGACAGGGAGGGGTGGGGTGGGGTATGGAAAGGCAGGATAAATAATTTCTGAGCTCAAATTCTTATCTTTTATTTTTTTAAAAAAAAAAACCTAAGTGCCTACAAGGTTTAGAAAAAGTTAAAAAAGAAAAATGCATTTTTTCTTACAATTCTTACAATTTCTGCAAAATGAGCCAGTCTGGCTGCTCTGTGTTTATAGTCATTGAGTGAATTCAGAGCTGTGATTGATGATGAGTGGGCACCAGGACTCCTCAATGCTGACAGTCATGATCTGTCATCTACCTAGGTATAAATGTCTGGGATTTCTTGGGACTTCTTATCATCCAAGTAAGTCACATTGCTTAATTCTGAACATTGCTGCCTCACCTTTTCTTCACCTCTAAGGTTGCTACAGGCCTATCCCTCTGACACGCAGGCCCTGGTAGGGGACAGTTTGAAGAGTTCCTAATTTGATCTGACCCTGAAAAGGTGCATCAGCCAGCCATGACGATAACAAGTAGGATGAACAGAGGCAAAGGAGGACACAACTAGTGTAACTTTCATATTTGTGTAGAAGATTTTTCATGCTAGCAGGTCAAGATGTTCCCGTTTTTAAAATCAAGCTATTCCTGCTTAAGTTACACCTGCTTTTAAACTTTAGTTTTATCATACAGGATAATCCTAAAAACAGAGGTGGGGAACCTCAGGCCCAGGGTCCAATTGTAATCATCCAAGCTTCTCTACCCAGTGGCGTAGCAAGATCAGGTGGTACCTGGGACAAAAAAAATCTTGTCCCCCCCCACACACACATTGGTGTGTTTTTTTATATATTGCCTGCAAAAACGGTTTGACTTGCTTTCATGGGGGGGGGGGGATATTGCGTGCCTTGCGACAAGGCAGGCGGACTCTTTTTGCAGTGGGAAGCCTGTGGATGCCAAAACCACACCGTCTCTCACAGACGTTGACTGCCACACAGCATTTTGTCACCCCTCTTAGAGGTGAGGGCAGCCCACACCCACCGCGCTCACCTTGCTCCACCCCATCTCTACCTTTCCCTTAGGACTCTCTCCAAGCCACACAACTTCTTCAGCCACACTCTCTTTTTCTATGCCCCGTACCTCATTGGCCTCACTTCCCATTCTGGGTAGAATAGCTTACTATACAACAGTAACATTTATAGTCATTGCTCCACCCACATTTGGCTCTGTCCCTGCCAGCATTTGATGTGGCTCTGAAATCTTACTTGGAAGAGAATGTGTCCTGCATGCTGTTAATAGTCCCCCTCTCTGTGATGTAGGATCCTGGGCTTTGGCCATTCTACGGAAATGTATGTGAAGCAAGAAATAGATGTATGGACTGGGGAAAGATATGGAAATTAAGTATGCCAAAAGCTATGCTCTATCTTCCTGCAGCTATGTTCCTCGCAGCTTTAGGGATAATTCTTGGTCTTTGGAGAATCTGTCAGGAAGCTCGTCCTACACCCGAGTAGGACCCTGGGAATAATGCTCCCTGACATTTATATACATTCTTATAAGACTGTGAGAAAGAACCTGCCAAATTATCTAATCTACACTAAAATGAAAATAGTCTCCTTCCTCCTACCCAAATTCTGTCAAAAATGTCATGCAATACAGATAATGTAATTAAAACCACAACCCACCACTAAATAGCATTGGATAACAAGCTTAGTATATCTTTAAAAAAACAGAAAAAAACTTTGTTGTTTGGAAAGCTTGCCAAATATATGTAGCTGTTAAATTAGTTAATTAGGTTGTTTATTTGGAGCCATACATATAGGTCTGGGCATTTTAAAAACGTAAGCAGAGAAAATGGAGTATTTTCCCCAGTTGACAAGGTTACACTAAGATACTACCCTCCATCTCAATGTGTTTTGATTACATGATTCACTCAAGCAGAAACACCCATTATGAGCTGCTAAATAACACAAGTTCTCTGCTTCAATTCCCAAGCAAAATACTAACAATATAAGTTTTTGCTGCAAAGCAAATTCCCTTTAGCACCACCAAAGTTTGTAATACTCATATGAAATAATTATTTTTTTATTCGTTATGATACCCAGGCATCAATTGCATGACCACAGATTTAGACTGAAATTCCAGAATGTACTTTGCTAGAAGTAAACTGTATTGAAATCAATGGAATATGGTTTCAAGGAATCATGGCTCAGAGCATTTTATGTGATCTCAGAGCGCAACTCAGATTAAGCAGAATATTCTACCTTGATTTGGTGGCCCATACAACTAGGCTTCTCAGCTGGCTTCAACTCTTACTTTGAGTTTACAAATTAGCAGGGCAGGTGCTTAGCTGGAGACAGACATTCATCCTTTGCTTAGTAGTCAAGCATCTGCTTTGAATGTTCAGGTTCAATCCCTGACATCTTCAGGTAGAGTGGGTAAGGTCTGCTGTCTGAGACCCCGGAAAGCCACTGTCAACACTACTGAGCTAAATAGATTGACCAATGGCCTGACTTGGTTTAAAACAGCTTCCTATATTAAAGGACTGGACTCAGGCTATTCTCTATCTAGGTCTGGCCTATTATAATACATTAAACACCACAGTCACCTTTACCAGCAACATTTGTGCCATCAGTGCCTTAAGAACCGTCAGAGCACACAAACAATATTTAGGGGGATCACTCAATCAAGCCATAGGTTCAGTGACCATGTGAAGATACTCAGCACATTCTTTGGATACTGGTTAGCCCAGGATCTTCCAGAAGGACTCTTAAGTTCATTCATAGGTACTCACAAAGGGTGCCTTACACAGTTGCAAAAAACATGATATCAGTAGCA